CTTTGTTTACCTTAAAGTTTCTAAATTTGTTGAACTATGCACAGCAACTCTTAAGGAAAATTTGGAGAGGATGATTTAATTGGTCAGGAGGTGGGCCTTGGCCTGGGTGATTTTTTAAAAGTCCCTCAGGGACTTTAAAGCACAACCAATACCATGTATGACTGATTTCAAGTGAAAAAATGTGGCACCAGAGGAACACTGCATTCCTCCTTCACTGTTCTCCATGCTGATACCCCTGGTCAGTTTTATTTTCGCCAAGAAGAGATAAAAATCTGCCTACCCTGAATTCAAGTCCAGGACACAGGGAATAAATTATTTAACATTACCCTCAGAAACCTGAATTCTACCTAAGAATTCCAAACACAACTTTGAGACGTAAGTAAGATGATCATATATCCTTGTATGCCCAGGACAGTCCTCCATTTGCCTGTTGTTCTGAAATTATTAAGAACGATCCTTTCCTTTCCACATTAGGGTAATAGATCAACTAAATTAACCCAGGAAGTTGCTTTAAACAGTTGGCCTCTGCTATAGACGACTCTAAGGGCAAATATAGGAAATGAATACTTTTTCCTTAACAACAAGGCAGATCTTTTCTGGGAGATTTTTCAGCTTTTATTTAGACTTAGTTTTTGTGTTTGTTTGTTGCCTTAATGCTTGGCTGTGTAGCTCCCCCTAGCCCTTGTTTTAATACCTTAGGAAAACTCCACATCTTTGTGACATGTGTATCATTGTGTCCTTGTTAACTGTCACTTTCTCAACAGATAGTTTTTGAAAATATCCTGTGGCGTCACTCTTTTGGCAGTGAGCAGGGAGGGAGGAGGAATGATTTATCCTTTCCGGGACTTCTTCCCTCACTGAGCCAGACCCAGGGTCTCTGACAGTGACGCTGAGAAGCATTTCAGAGGTCGGTCGCCTTTCATGGAAGTGCTCTTGAACTGGTGGTATTCTCCAGTCCTCAGGAGTTCTCTCCATAAATCATGTCCTTAGGCCGGTTTCTATTTTCAGTCACAGCACCTACTGGGGTGACAAGTTCTGTGTGTTGAATATTCACTTTTGACATATTCTCTATGAGCCTTATAGTAAAATTCCTTTTTAAAAAGGCACCAGGGTGATCCTGCGTGATGGAATTGCAGAATGCTGCTGTAAACTCAGTGACTAGTAACTATATAGATTTCCTTTCCACATTTTCCTCACTGCTGCCTGAATCCTCACCCTTCTCTTCTAAAACTGAAAGAGGGAATTCAGGTCTTTTCTCTTTCCCCAAGATGTTAACTGTAATCTGGTGGTGACAGCTCTTGTGTGGTTGTGACCCATCAGAAGCCAGTTTGAGTCTTTACTTGCAGACTCTTGTGCCTGGAGGCAATAATTGCTTCTAACCCAAACCCAAGTTTGTCTGTCTCCTCCCTGTGAGTACTTCGCCCTCCATCTCTGCATCAGAAATTGATGCTGCACTGAGAGTCCACCTGGAC